AGAGGGAGAGCAAGAGAACAAGCAGGGGGAGTGGCAGGCAGAGGGAGAAGCAGGCTTCCCTCGGAGCAGGGAGCCCAATGCAGGGCTCAATCCCAGAACCCTGGGATCATGACCTGAGCCAAAGGCAGATGCTTAACCGACTGAGCTACCCAGACATCCCTAGCAACCCCACATTTAAATAGTCAACTGTTCTATCAGTGAAATAACTTTGTTAGGTTTATTTTGAATGTAAAAGATTAATGTTAAAATGCCACAAAGGGAAGGAGTTAGAAATTCAATTTTTTTGGTTGATGACATTAAGGCAGCAGACTATTTTAATGTGGCTAAAGTCTATCTAGTAACAAAAGTGTGATGCTGGCCCAGGAGCAGAATGAAGATATCTGTCATTGTGCTTCTTCCCAGACCCTTATCATCTGGAGGAGCAAAAAGACCACATCATAGGAACATAGGTTCGTAGGCATTTCCCCATGACCCAAAGAAGTCAAATCACATCACTGATAGTACTTGCAGCCTTTTCATTTATTCATCCCAGATCCTTCTGTGGATGTCTTAGTCAGCTCAGGCTGCTGTAACAAAATACCATTGACTGGGGGGGTGGGGGCTTAAACAACAGGAATTTATTTTCCACAGTTCTGGAGGCTGGGAAGCCCAAGATCAAGCTGCCAGCTGATTTGGTCCCTGGTGAGGCGCTTCTTTACGGTTTGCAGAAGGATGCCTTCTTGCCGTATCCTCACATAGCAGAAGGAGAGATCATCTCTGTGTCTCCTCTTTATAAGAGGACTAATCCCATTCGTGCTGGATCCACCCTCATGGCCTAATTACCTCCCAAAGACCCACCTCCAAATACTGTCACATTGGAGATTAGGGCTTCAAAGTATGCATTTGGGGAAGATAGAAAACACTCAGCCCATGGCAATGAAGACTTGAATAAAACTATGGGTGTATATCCAGAGAGATCATGAATGTTAGAAAACATCATTTCTGACAGTTGAATAACTATGGGTGAACATGCCCAGGCATTCTCCTCAGGTGAGAGAAAGGAGGGTACTTCTCTGAAAGCTGGGTACGTTCACCAACAAGCAGGTTTTATTTTAAGAAACTAATAAAAGTAATATGATTCCACCTTTCAGAGCTGTTTATCACTTGGAGTTTCAGTTTGGGTGATTGCACTCTAGTAAATTAGCTGACTGAGAGTCCAAAGATTATATCTGCATCCAAACACTCCATTCATCATGCTTAGCATTCGGATTTCAACCCAGCTTTCCCACATATTTGCCAAAATGCCACTGAAGTAATCACAGAAAGCTCCTTGTTTTGATCTACTTAATGCCTTAAATATTGTCAGTGGCTCTGGATTTAGGTTTATTGGAATATTTTAATGACCCACCGATCTCTTTATCTGAAAGTCTCATATAACCACTTTCTTAGTTCATAAATACTTACTGATTTTAATTTTGTACCAAAAAGAGAATAGACTTTAGAAGTTCAATGTGTTCTTACCCAAGGAAGAAATGCAAAGTGGTAGTAGAAATTATCAAGTTATTCTCATGTAAAAGTAAAAAAACACTTAAATACTATCAAATATTTAACAAGTTGTATGGCCAATATAAAGTTCAAATTATATGTGTCACCCACACCTTTACTTTCTCAAAATCATTTTGCAAATTGGCAAGTTATTCAGTCCGATTATCTAATTTTGGAAAAGCATAATTTAAATTTTAAGTGGTAAAACTACCAAAATGTGACACCTCGGATCCAAAAAACCCAAATGCATAAAATGCAGGCTTGCAAGGTTGGAAGGTGAATAAAATTTCTGGGCCCAATCTGCATAGCTAATTGGCTGGGAGTTCCAGATGGCAATGTGGGATACAAATCTATTCTAACGCCATCTGTGTTTTAGCACCACCTGGTGACCTAGTCAGTTTTTACCAGCTGGTCCCTAGGTGTGTTGTTTCTGGCTACGCAGAAATTTTAGGTTACTGGTGGTCTTTCAGTCTCATCTATCTGGAAATACTTGGGCTTGAATAAAGTGAGTACAGGTTTGGACACAGGACTGCCTATCCTTTCTATACCAATTTCTTCTTTAAAAATATGACATTAAAACAACCAATGCAAATGCATTATTTTAAGTCTAACTTTGGATTTCCTCTTTTGCTTTCTCTTCTTTGGGAAAAATACCTGGACAAAATTAACTGGTCTCAGAATCTTTTCCCACAGACAGTTCTTGGTCTTCACCTGCTAAGGCCTCTGCTTCGCCATCAGACACTCTACCTTTCTTTACTGCATTCAGCATCTTCTCTCTGACTGATCAAAGTGCCACAGACATAATGCCCATTGACCAGACAGTACTAATCCCAGAACTAACCATCCCCATGGATGGCTATTCTGCCCTCAGCCAGTCAGCTCTGGAAATTTCACATTCAACTGCATCTTCAGGCAGCCAAGATATTGTGAGAGACTTAGACATAATGGATCTAACTAACACTCCTGCCTCCTCTGAGGTACCAAGATTCAGTGCAGATGTTTCTACCCCAGGTCATTTCTCGGAGACTACCACTCCCAACCCAGCTTTACAGTACATCACCACTAACTCTATGACCATTGCCACCAAGGGCCAAGAACTGGTAGTCTTCTTCAGTCTGTGAGTCGCTAACATGCCCTTCTCCAACAACCTGTTCAACAAGAGCTCTCTGGAGTACCAAGCTCTGGAGCAACAATTCATACAGCTGGTGAGTAAGCACTGCTTCCAATTCCCTGCATGTCCTTTCTTTTTTTCTTGTTACTTTATAATATCATCACTGGCTGTCTTGAGCAATGAATGTTGGAAGAGACAAGCCTCTGACATAGCTGTTGCTGAAGGTATTCAGCTAAAGTGTGGGGATGGATGCAGATCCAATAAGCAAGTGAGTTCTGCAGTGGACACTCCAGGCAGACACTGCCACCCAGCCCCATGAGATCTTATCCTTAAGATCTTTTCATTATAGTTATTCCTAGTGTAGTTTTCCCAGGAATAATACATAGCCACTCAAGTACTGAATGTGGAATTTAAAAGCAGTATGAGCAAACTTTCCCTAAGTTATAATGCCACAGGCTGTTTTCCAGCCATCAGATAGAAGGATTCAAAACTCGGAGGGTCCAGAACAGATGAGGCCGAGAGTTCAAGTGAAAGGACTCCTTTCTTAGTTCCCCTTAAGTTTTTGTAAAACTAAAAAATAGCTAAATGGCATATCATCCCTGATCCCTAACAAAGAAAATGAGATGAAGATCATGATGGCGTATATCTTTGATTATACAATACCCCCAAAACTCACATGTTTATTTTGTTTCTACATGTACAATAAGAAACACACATATAATAAGAAATGCTCAACCATGTGATACCTGTATGCAGTCATAGCCAATTAAAGTCAAATACACAATACAAAAATCCTAGAATTTCTGAAAATAACAGAAAAAATATTTGTAAGCTTCATATAAATGAAATCATTATGCAAATTAAAACCACATAAAAACCAAGGTCTTCAAGTGAACTTTAAAGGAAGACTTTGTGCAATGTCCCCCCACCCCAGTGAGGTGAGGTGAGTAGATACCGGGACAATCTCAGGGAACAGAGTCCCAGTGCACCTAGCTCAGGTATATTAATTAGGGTATGTGCTGAGCTTCCATAATGAAGAGATCAAAAATATAGTAACTTAAATATGGTGACAGATGGTAGCTACACTTTGATGAGTGTAGCATAACACATAGACTTGTTGAATCACTATGTGGTACACCTGAAACTGATATAACACTGTATGTCAACTATACTTCAAAAAATATATATATATAGTCACTTAAATAACATACAAGTTTATTTCTTTTCAACTTGATGGGTAGGGCAATTCTGCTCTACAGTGTCATCCAGAGATTCACATTTCCTCTGTCTTATAACTCTGACAACCCCAATGGTGTCTGCTCATTCACACAAAGCTGAGTCACCGGTAAATCCCTGTTTCCATTTGTGAGAAGGGGCAAGAAAGGAAGCCCAGGGCAAGCAGTTTCATAAGAAAGTGAGTGATACCAAAGTTGCCCACATCTCTTCCACTCATATTCTGTCGATGGGAACTAGCACGTGGCCATATCTTGCTGCAAGGGAGGCTGGGAAATGTGGTTTCTAGCAAGGCAGTCTCTTTCCTGTGAAGAAGAAAATGGATTTGGGAGAAGGGCGCAGCTAATCATCTGCATACTAAAGACAGGGAATTCCCACCAGAGGCCAACGCAATGCTAAGATGAAAAAAATGAGCCCAGTCAATATAAGTAGGAGAGTACTGAGAGTAGACTGAGAAGTTCCACACTTTGTATAAAATTTCATTTTATTTTTACAATAACCTGTGGGAGGGGGGAAGCTATCGGCATGTGGGCAAGGTTAGAGTCAAAATTCTGGTGAGGTGGGGACAGGGACAAGAAAAAGTAGACCTGGGCTAAGCCTGGGAGATTGTAGCTTGCATCTGTGTACTCTCTGTGTTCGTAGGTGTCAGTTTATTAAAGAAGGGGTTAACTTTCAGGGCCAAGAACAAGGCAGACACTGCTGAGTTTCAGACATTTCTGAAAAGGGATCTCAGGGGAGGCAGTGGCTCACAATACGCAGCTGTAGGACTCTGAAGCACAATGCCCGTGGGCAGACTTTTGAGATTATTAAATTACAATTTGGAAAAGGTCCTTAGGGAACCACTTTTTCTTCTTCCTTACAATTCAGATAAGGGCACTGAGGTACAATACAATGGATAAATGGTTTGATGACATCACACAGCTAGCTGGGGACAGTTCCAGGACTGACACCCAAGTCCCCTGACTGCCAGTTCCCTGCTGTTTCCACTGCGCGGCCTATGCATTGACCGTGAAACATGTCCTGCGTAGACAGACAAGCTGATGTGTAAGCTGTTACTTCAATAGGTCATTTCAATTGGTTGCTTCCAAATAGATGTCCCATTTATACAGGCGGAGGTCAGTCTGCTCCTGGGCTCAGTTTGGAACATGTTTTTATTTGTTTGAATTTTTTTTTTTTAATAACTGAACCTGGCATTCCTGCTTTGCTGATAACATTGGCCTAGATTTTAAAAAGTCCTTTGTTGTCACAATTCATCATGAAGAAAATCACTGCCCATCCATCTCAATACACAAATAGAAAGGTGGAAATATGGGACATAATCAGTGCAAATAGATCATTAAATAGTCGTGTTCTGCTTTCACATTAAATCCAAACACAAAAATAAAGACAATCAAAAAGGAACTGAAATTTATGCCTCAGATAATGAGGAGTATAAATGGAATGAGCAGCAGCTGAGCACTTAGAACACAGTTAAGGGTAAACCATCTTTTATTTTGCAGCTGGTTTCCTATCTACGCTCCAATCTTACGGGATTTAAGCAACTTGAAATACTTAACTTCAGAAATGGGAGTGTGATCGTGAATAGCAAAATGAGGTTTGCTAAGTCGGTGCCCTATAACCTCACCAAGGCTGTGCAGGGGGTCTTGGAGGATTTTCGTTCTGCTGCAGCCCAACAACTTGACCTGGAGATAGACAGCTACTCTCTCGACATTGAACCAGGTAAAAAATCCAACCCAGAAAATTGTGAGTTTTTTTGGTTTTGTTTGTTTAGCAAACGGTTCAACTTTGAGGCCACAAAAGTCAAATTAAAATCCCACTTGTTAAATAACATTTTGGAAGCTAATGGATCACCTTATTAGAAAGATAGGGTCCTAAACCACACAGGTTAAAATTTTCGTACATCAAAAAGCAGAGAACAGGTACACCTCGTGCTTCACAATCTGGGAGCTTTAATTTCACCCTCAGAACACAACTTTTGCTGTGCCTTAAGAGATTGTTTTTGTTGTTGTTGTTGTTGTTGTTGTGTTGTTGTTTAATGTTCCCCACAGCCAAGCTAATTTGCATTCTGCTAGAAGTCAGAAGCACTTTCTTCGCAAACTGCAACAACCTGGAGGGTTTCTACCTAAGAAACCTTCCAGTCGTAGTTAACTATCAGAATTACCTCCTAATAACCAATTCAGGATGAAACGAAACAGTGTCCTGAGGAAAGAAAACTAATCATTAGACAAAATCCAAACTGGGAAAAAAAGCCACTGCACATCACCAAAGAAAGAAGAAAATAATGTCCCTTCCCATTTGCACACCCTAGATCAGCTTCCGTGTGCAGGTTAAAACAGAGAAGTGTTAGATGTGAAAACTTTTAAAGATAATGGGGGTTAGCCCAAAGCTACATAACAGAAAGCAAATATCGTTCTGATAATAAAATATACTGTGTGTAACATTCTAACCAGCTACACCCAAATTAGGAACCATTGCCACCATTACTTTCAAAATTCTGTTTTCTAACCAATCAAAGGAAGCGTTGCCACCATTACAAATTCTGTTTTCTAACCAATATATTCCCCAGAGTGCCGAGGGGCAAGGCTCCAGATCTACTGCCAAGGAGACCTTCTAGTCAGGTTCAAAACAAAGCTTCCTAATTGGCTATGAATTAGTGAAGTGAATCTTTAACATCCTCTCTGGCTTTCTGTGGGCTAACAATGAAGGTAGAGGGAAAAGGCCTTGGGCAAAATGCAAACAAAGAGGCTCAGTTGGGAAACACTTATTTTTGACAGAGCAGAACTTTGAGCAACTTTGAGAAAATTGCCTCCTATTTCAGAAAACAGGATCATTAAAAAGACAGATCACCCTTAGGCACTAAGTCTGGGAGTGCTTACCTCTGAACAGGGGCAGCTAAGAAAGCCCTGAGGACCCCGTAAAAAAATCAAAGACCTACTAAATGCTAGTAATAGACTGTCTCTTCCCCTGAAAACCACCTCAGAACCGAGAAGGAACCAGAGGGTGCCTGCAGTTAGGATCAGGAGACCAATTTCTTCAGTCAACTGAAAGCAATGGAAAGGGACGTCTGCAGAACTTGGAAAGCGTAACAGAGGTGAAGGTCCAATCTCCTCCCTTCCTTCCTCCTTTGGAGAGCTGACAGGCGACATAGAGACCCATCCAACAACATGAGAAGGTCAGCATCAGGAGCCAGGTTGAGACAGGGGAGAACTCAGGTGTGCTGACATGGAGACGGGCTTCTCAATGGAGGTACCACTTAAGTAGTGCCTTAGAAACTGACAGCCGGAAGCTGGTGGGCCATTGCCAGGGATGCAGAGGGGACCCTGATGATGCCGGAAGGGAACATAGCATAGCAATGACTTTGGGGGCCCATAGTCCTGAATGTGAATCCCATGCACTAACAGCAGCACTCAATTTCCACAACTGGAAAATGGAGATAGTAAACAGTTGTGAGGATTAACTGAAAGAATGTTTGCAACACCCAGCATACCGTTGGACACATCGTAGTCGACTAAGGAATACTGGTAGTTAATATTGTAACATTGTCATTATTAACTTGATTAGTAATTTGTGATCTGAATAGGGTACCCATGAGAACAATAAAAAGTACCCTGACAGGGTATTTGTGTGGAGGCTGGAACTGAAATTATGCTTATTTCCTGGGACTGGTTTGACTATGTAGCTTTTCCTCTAAGAAGCCAAAAGCAACCAAAACAAGATGCTGTTAACTTTGGTTTCAGTCCCTGCTGGAGCCAAATTTATACAGAGCTATCCCAGAAATGCCTCCAGACTGCCTCGTGTCCTGTGGGGTACATGGGCAATTTATTCTTTTAATAGTAGAACAACAGGGGAGGCCAAAGCACATGGGACAGCCGGGGACATTACCTTACGCTATTTCTTACTAGATACTTAGAGAATGAGAAAAATCTGAATTTCTGATACATTGAAAACTCACAGAATAATGGATGGATGGTTGGATGGATGGATGGATGGATGAGGTCTGCCAAGAGATGGCTGTAGTGAGCCAGCTAGGACATAAGTAAAGCCTGAACAAAAGAATTTAAGGACAGCAGAATTAGAAAGCAAGTAAGGATTTTATAAAAGTTAAAAATATATAACAATGTAACTTTACAGATTCCTCTATATATATCAAAATAGATAAATCCAATACATAAAAGGGCTCCTATTTACTGGGAAGGACCACTGTGCCAACCTGCCCCCAAAAGCATTCCTTCCAATCAACAGGGGGTGGGGAAGGAAGAAGATACAAACAGGCAGGGAGTAGAGGTGAGCTCCTCACTGCCCCCCTCTAGAGATCCTGGTTTAGTTATTTCCCCAAAGGCAAAGGGTAGACTTGCCCAAATAACCAGCAAGTGGTTGATTATTAGACCTTGACCATCTTCTACATGCTTAATCCAAAACAAGAGACATTCATCCACCATCATATAACACATGAATACATGGAAGTCAGTCCCTACCCAAAAGAACGTGCAGGATGGCCAAAGACGGATCAGAACGATCAGACCTCTGCCTGTTTCATTCAAAAAGACTGTAATGAGCACTTTCTGATGTGCCACATTTAGTTGCAAATTTCTGAGTTTGGGAATCACTGAGGCAAAATGAAGAAAGCACTGAATTTTCCTTTAAATCCCATTTCACTGAGACCCAGTGTCTGAAGGCAAGAGAGAATTGAGGGCTAGAGATTAATGTAGAGAATTCTAGTCCCTCTGGGCTGGTCTCCCGCAGTGGTGGTTGGTGGTGGTGAGGGCTGAGCAGCCACCAAGACGGCCAGTACCATAAAAAAAAAAAAAAAAAAAAAAATTCAGTGACACTTGGCACTATGGCAAGGAAGACCTTATTCAAGGAGGGCCATCTCCATGGATGTAGGGACCACTGCAGTGGAGTCTCGACGTAGGGAAGAGTGGACTTAACTCCAAGTACAGCATGGGCAAGTGGGAATTTATAGCGAAAGAGCAGGGTGGAGGGCAGTGGATGGAACTTACTAAGAAGAAATTCTTCTTGCTAAAATTGGACAATGAAGAGGGGAACGCTGAAGCTCAAAAGTGGAGGCCAAATTGAGAATTTCAGGGGAGCCTGAGTAGAGCTTGGTCCTGGAGAAACTTCATCCGCACCAGAGCTGGAGTGGCAGGATGCCAGGCATATACATGTCGGTGGCAGCGGGGTGAGCTGCCGTTGGAGGGTGGTGGTGGCGGAGGACGGAGAGGCGGCCACCCAAGAGCGAGCAGCAGTCAGGCACCCACCCTGATGACAGACCTGCACACCCCCACTTCATCCTCACACTATCCACCACTCCTCCTCCCTATTCACATCCTGTTCCAGTCCAGGCAGGGACGGCCCCAACCCTAAAGCACTCACCAGCATTGCTTCTCCACAGAGGTAATGAACTTCTTACATCTATTAATCTGCTTATCTTATAAAACTTCTTGAACCTGAATTTTAAAACACTATTCAAAAAAAGAAAAAAAAAACAACAACCAAAAATCTATAGTTAAAGTGTTTCTAGCCTGAGTTCTCCTTTATAATTTTAGTTTGGGGAAACATGCACAATATTAGTATTGTGATCATAGAAAAAAATAGGTGTCCAGATTTTAAGACAAATTGAGAGAACAAATGCAGATGATTTTCAATAGTTTTCTTCCTTTTTTTTTTTTTTCCTTTAATCTAGAATATGACAGATATTTGCTCCTAGGTTTCCAATGTGACTTGACTGATCCAGATTTTCTCTTTTTGGTAGTAATTTGGAGTGTAAGCTGTCATGGTGATTGACAGGCAAGCTGATTAAAATGTCCTCCTAGTACAACCAACCAGTGCAACCAAATGATCATGTTGCCTCTCAGGTCCCTGGACCCCAAATGAAGATAATTACTTCAGGTTCCTTGGACTCAAATTCCAGTTTACACAGCCCCTGGCTCTATTACTGGTGTAGTCTTTTCTAGTGTCTAAGGCTTGGGCTGATATACGGCAGTGCCCAGCCCCCAGCATGTAGTAAAAGAGGTCTGAGGGGCACTTAGAATCAAAATTCCAGAAAATTCCAGAAGGTCATCTAGCAAATACAAGAAACCTCCCTGATTCATGTTTGATCTTGCCAGTGTTTGCTTGAACTCATTGGTACTGGCCCAACCTGTTGAAAACTCTCCCTGAAAGAGAATTTAAAAGGGGAAAACTTTAGAGAGAAAACGGGCGGCTGCAGGAAGTACCATGTGCCGGGAATAAATACCCAGCTTTGTCTCTGGGAGAGAATCCCAAGAATCTATGCTTGGAAAACAGAGAGGGCATCCTATAATTTTAACCTTTTCCCAACCAGAATAGCCAAATACAGCAACACTTGCCGTGTGTCTCACCCCTTGCCCTTCCCTCACGAGCTTCTTGGGAGAAACAGGAGATCAGAAGCAGACTGCATAACACTGGAGGTTCTCCCACCTCATGTCCAGTGTTGCCCAGGCCTGGGAGCCACCAGCCCTACCCATCCCTTCCTCGCCCAACCCTTATCAAAGAATAACCCTTAAAATTTGAAAAAACATAATTTTCATACAAATAGGTAGTGAGTATATATCAAAGTTTTATTTCACCCATTAATAAGGGAATCGCTAGGATGACAAATCTGGTCTAAGGAGCCTCTGAAAATGGGAATTCTGTATAGCCAGAGAACAAAACAGAATGATGAAATAAGGATGTCATGCTAAATAGGAAACAGGAAGTAC